TCCATCTGCCTGTTCTGCTCCACACTCTGTCTCTGGTGAAGCCTCTCGGCACCCCTCAGCCTCTGGCCTGTACCCCAGTTCTGTATATGTACAAATAAATAAATCTTTTTTTTTTAAAAAAAAAAGTTGGATTGTAAGAACAGAATACGTATCTAAAAGATGACTTATGCTTTTTACAGGAGACACAGGAAAGCTTTAAGGGTACACAAAAACTGGAAGTAAAGGGCTGAATAAAAATATATCAGGCAAATTCTAAACCCAAATAAAACTGGGTTTTTTAAATTAATATCAAGCAAAAGAGGTTGTTAAGGCAAAAAGCATTCCTAGACATTGAGAAATTCAATTTTTAATCATAAAAGTTTACTGGGAAGATATGACATCTTAAAAATATATATCCATTTAATAACACAGCCTCCAGATAGGAGCAGCAGACCATGCCATAATCACTGTGGGAGATTTTTTAATACACCACCTTGTCAATAATTGCTGGAACAAGCAGAAAAAAATAAGCAGGGATATACAATATTTGTACCATGCAATAATTTTTTGTATCTAATGAGTGTGTGTGTGTGTGTGTGTGTGTGCAGTATCACACCTACGGCAACAGAAGACACATTCTTTTCAAGTGTGTAAGGAACACTTTCAGTATACTGAACTAAAAGGAAATTTCCAATAAAATTCAAAACATCAAAATCATACAGTATACATTCTTTGACCGTAGTACATTAAGCTAGATCTGAGCGGAAAAATGCTGACTAGCAATACCACATGTTTCAAAACTAAGAGCCACTCTCCCAATTAACCTCTAAGAATTAATCCAATTTGAAATTAGGAGATATTTAGAATCAAACAATAAGGAAAGCATATTAAAGCATATCTTAGAAGGAACTTGAAGTCCTAAATGAATCTATTGGAAAAGGACATAGGTTGATGATCTTATTTTAAGAAGTATGAAAAGAATAAAGTATGTAAATAAGAATAGAATAAAAGAATAAAGTATGTAAAAGAATAAAGTATGTAAAATGGAGGATATAATTAAGGTAGGATGCAGGATTAACTGAAATAGGAAACCTTAGTGAACTATAGAAGGTCAACAAGGTAAAAGTTTTTTTTTTTTTGAAAGGACTAATTAAATTGATGACCTTTAGCAAGATTTACACAAAAAGGCAAGAGGCCATGCCTGAGGGGAGAAATACTGTACTGTCAAACAATTAACAAGGATGTAATACAATGGCACATCATTAACAAATAATGATTAAAAAAATCAAAATACAAACCACTATTTTTAAAGACAGAAAAAGATAATGTAGGAATAGGTATTATAGACCCTTAATAGCCTGGCATACACAATAAACTTGAAAATTTAGACTAAAAAGGACAATTCTTTAGAGAAATATAACTTATCAAAATCTATTTGAGAAATAGAAAACCTACTTTTAAGAAAATTAAATCAATAATGAAATACCGACTTCCAGATGACTTTACTAGTGAATTCCTCAAACTGTAAGGGAGCAAAGACCAGCTGGGTGGGATAAGGGGACTATTCTTCACCTTTTTTCACAGAGGTCATGGAGGGCTGGGTTTCCAGCCCCAATCCCTGATCTGAGGGGGAGGGAGAGGGACTGGAGAGGCCTCAGTTCTAAAACCTGGTAAGAATAGTGCAAATAAGTAAAATTACAGGTCAAAACGATATAGATGCAAAAATCTAAAACAGATTATTAGCACACTGAATCTTCCAACGTACAAAAAGAATTCAAGATCAAGTTGGGATTATCCCAGGAATGCAAGGTTGATTTAACATTAGCAAATCAATTAATATAATTCACCATTTAACAGATTAAAGAAGAAAATCATGTGATTATCTTTAATACATGTGGGACAATTGTCTCATAAAATCAGACATTTATTCATGATAAATATTTTTAATAAAAAAACTTACTAAACTGAAGGTTTTTTTTTTTTAATCCTTAAAATTCCTGCTACCAGTATCAGACTTGGTGAAATATTGAAAGTGTTCCCTTTAAGATCAGGAAAAAATACAAGAATGTCTGTGATTAACACTTTTTTCCAACAGTGTACTGGGTGTCCTTAACCAGCACAATAATACAATAAAATGAACCAAATGGTTAGAAATCAGAAAAGAGGACAAAAGTTACTGTCTGCATATGATATGATTATGTTAAATTTTTTGAAGATAATATTGCTAGATCTATATAATATGAGAGGTTCCTGTATATAAAAATGTTAAATAGCAAAATAAATTAGAAAGGACATTTAAAAAGAGGTTTCATTGAGGCTAGCATAAGGAAGTAGGGAATATTTAGGAATAAATCTAATAAAAGTTATGGAGAAATTAGGAAATTTGTTAGAAAAGATGTTGAAAGATTGAGATAAATGGAGATAAAATATACTACTTTCATAAATCAAAATACCACATAAAGGTTACATTTGTTCCCAAGTTGCTCCTTAGATTATTGTAGTTCCAAAAGAAAAAGGAAAAGAAAAAAAAATTGGCTGTATCTGTGTGTATGGATGTGGCAAGTGATTCTAAATGAATAAGGAAGTGTAGGGGCCAAGATATTTTTAAACAAACAAGGTGGGTTACTTGCCTTTCAGACACAGAAATAGTCAAGGCAATTGCAGTAATTAAGACAGGTGTTGGCATTGGGAAAGACCCCATGGGCTAACGGAGCAAGACTTGAAATGATGGGAAGAGATAAGATGTTATTTAGAGAGAAAGAGGTAAGAATGAAGACACAGAAGCTTCCTTCCTTCTTTCTTGTCTTTCTCCCTCCCTTCCTCCCCCCTTCTTTTCCATCAACAGCATTTATTATGTCCCCACTATGTGCTGGGTTCTTAGGATGAAATGGTGAACAAGAAGATCTTTTTTTTTCTTATAGAATATCAGGGAAATTACAAAGTGTGAAAACAGGTTGATTTGATGAGGGGCATAGGTTGGGAGGACCTATCTGAGCAGGTCACTATGAGTTGAACCTGCAAGATGAGAATGAAAGAGTTTAGTGAAAACTAAGGGGGAAACAGTGCAGGCAGAAGGAAGATGTGTGCAAAGGCCCAGATCCAGGGGGCATTCTGCTATGTGTGAGAGAGAGACAGGAGGCCCATCTGGCTGGAGTTTAGTGGGCAAGAGGATCCTGGGAGCTGGGCAGGTCTTGTCCATGCAGCACTTTAGAGACCACCGCAGGGCTCCGGGTTTCATTATCAAGGCAGCAGGCAACCACTGAAGTTACTTGTAAAAAAAAAAAGTGTTGTACAAATGTGAGATGATACTACTAGAGAAAATGGGGGTGTAGGAGAGAGGCAGAGGGGCACTATCTGCTCAATTCTGAAAATCTAAAACTGTGGGGGTCAGGAGGTTGGTCAGTGGGATGAAGTCTGGTCATTTTTTTCAGTCTTCTTGCTTGCTCCAGGTGATCAGGGGAACTGGGGGAACTTGTGACCCCAAACTTCTCTGAGAATTTGACAGATGTGACTCTTAAAACAGTGGTTGTCTTAAGGACAATGCACAGCAGCGACTTGAATAGGGAAACTCCTGCAGAGGGTATTCAGGAGCTGAGACTGGAAAAGATCAGGGACATTAGGTCAGGAGGAGGAAAGTGTAGGAGGTACCTGAGACACTGGACTGTGATCTGGGGTGCTAGGATGACTTCTCTGAGGCATGAAGAGCTGAAACTCAGAGCCAGGCAACCTGGCTTTTAAATGCAGGTCTGCAGCTCATTTGACAGCGGAGAGCTTTGGGGATCATTATTTGACCATTTGGTTTTCCTCATTCTCTATGGGGACCCTAAAAGCAACTCTCAAGGTTGTAAGCATAACACAAGGTATGTAATATCAAGAGTTGAGCATTGTGTCTAACACAAGGTCAAGGAACAACAGCTGCTATGATCACCATTGTTATTGTTATTTGGACAGTAACGGGACAGGAAGATGCTGGAAAGAACCTTCTTGGTGCAGATGAATACACACCCCTCCTTTGAGGAAGCAGGAAGAACCAACTCTTCAAACTCCCAGGAATCAGGTTCTGCCTCACTTCTGCAGGGACTGGAAAGGAAGGGGGATCTTGCTGGAGGTGACTCCAAAGGGCAGTGTCCTCAGAGGTAAGTATCCCTGAATGTGTGTGTGTGGCTGGGGGGGGGGATTCCCCAAATTGGCTAGAGAAAACCTTACCAAGCGGAAGGTCCGCAGCACTGACAGGCTACCCTTCTTGGCCATCCCCAGCTCCACCAGGCTCACAGTGACAATGATGCAGTCAAAGATATTCCACTTCTTCTGGAAATAGTAGTAGGGGTCGAAGGCAATGATTTTGAAAACCATTTCAGCAGTAAAAAATACAGTGAAGACCTGTGGATGGAAACAAGAGTTCACCTCAGCAGGGTCTGGGGGTCAAGGGGCAATGACGAATAGGACAGAAGGAAAATGTCTTGTTTATAAAATAGCAGCTCCTTTTATCTTGTTTATGTTCAGTTTCTATATTTTTGTAGGCTCTTGAAGGATTGGAATGGGAAAGTTGAAAATGGCAGCAGAGAGATTTCTAGACCAGTGCTTAGAGAACAGTCATTAGAACTCATGCTTCATAATGTGAATTATGATTTTTAAAAGTAGATAGTCATTAGGATAATTAGTATTATATAATTATGTAAATGGGAAGTCAATCTGGTTCACTAGTTTAAAAACATGGGTTGTGGGACAATACTGACCCAGATAAAAATCCCATCTCAGGCACTCCTTAGTAGGTATGAGAGTGTGACCAATAATGCATTCTTCCCATACTTTAGCTAACTCATCTGTCATCTGTATAATGGGCATCAAATGAAGATAATGCACGTGCGTGTCTTAGCAAATTTTCTGGCAGATAATAACTCATGAATAAATAATAACTATTAGCAAGAAGCTATTAGCAATACATTGTCTCTAAGATTCTCTGCAGCTTTCAGTGTCCTTAATTGTCTTTAGCAGAACAGAATTTTGACTTTGTGAGAGGCCAGAACTGGGCGCAGGTCACACACCAAGCGGCAGGAGACAGATAAAGAAGAAAGCAAAGACCATGTCAGTGCTTTTCTCTCACTAGCACTCACCAATGCCTCTCCCTAGGTGATGAGGCAGGTCATTTCTTTGACAGCAAAAGAAGCAAACATAGAGGACAGTGAATCCCCTTCTGCCTCTGGACTGCAAGGGTGGAATTCAAAGAGTGTCTACTGAGTGTCCTTTGTGGGTGAGTCACGCTGGTGTGGTGAGAGATGGGTTGAAGTTTCGTGTCCTAGAGAAACTTGGGTCAACTCTGGCTCTGCCTTTACCAACTATGCATTCTCTGGCAGGAGACCCAATCTCTCTGAGCCTTAGTGCGCTCCTGGAGTGTGAGGGTCATGGTAACCTCATAGGATTGTTGTGGCCCTGAGTGAGATTTACAAAGCACCTGTCTCATTGTAGGTGCCAAACAAGGCCTCTCTCTTTGTGACACATGACTCAGCAAGTAGTGAAATCCAGTATGGATTTTATCTTATTAAAAGCAAATAATACTAAAAAACAATGGAGGAAATTTTCAAGTAGCATCATGTCTAAACCAGAAATAAAAGTTCCAACTCTCTGGTGCTTTTTTTATAACAGCAAACATGTCTCTCCTTTTCACTAGCTTCCTTCCCCCTATTCTTTCTGTCCTTAAATGATAACATTGGAAAACGATAATCACTGTTGATTGCAGTCACAAAAGCAATAAACTGGAAAGAATGTTGAGAGATCATATTTTATAGGGGAAAGCAATAGTTATCTTCATTTCAAAGTAGAGGCAGAAAATTTGAGGTTCTGTCTTAACTGCTGCAAAGGGGGAAGTGAGCTGACTTCTAGGTCAGGACTATCTTGTCTATTTTTGCGTGTTTGTTCATCCCAAAGCAATTCCCCCTGATTCTCCATCTTGCACCCTGTGTCCACACCACTCGCTATATTGAGCTGGCTAAGTCAACACTCCAAAGAGTGTGGACATGCTGCACCCAGCTACCCGCCCCACCCCCAGCCATGGCAGCATGGGCAAAGGCTGCCGGTGCACTTACGATGTTGCCTATCTGAAGCATGGTATCGAAGGTATAGCTCATTCCATGGTGTTCCATGGCCATGAAGAGTGTGTTCACCACGATGCACAAAGTGATGGTGAGTTCTGCAAAGGGGTCTGTCACAATCCCAAAGAAAATCATCTTGAGCTTCATCCATGTGGGGCTGCACTCCCAGATCAGATACTTCTGAGCCAAGCTGGTCAAGCAGGGTGGGCACCTCTGCTCAGACTCCTCGAGTTCTGCATAACAGGTGTGGTCAGTGTCAGCCATCAGCCACGTGTCCTTCAGAACCTCATCTCAAGCCTTCCCCTAGACCTTCCCCTAGACCATGTCATTACTAATAACCACTACCTCTCTCTCTGCTATCCATTTCTTACTTTTTGAGCTCTTTCAGTTCAGCAACTTCCAACCAATCTCTGTCCCCATCCAGTCCTCCAAACCATGGCCCCTACAACTTTTAACTGTCCATCGCCCAGGCTACATCCTCATCTCCCCACCTACTCAGCTTAGACTTCATGTACATCCCTCTACCTAGTCTATCTACTAACTTGCAGGCTCCCTCACTTCCTTTCCCTTTTCCCTATTTCATACTTGCCTGGCAAAAACCTAACCCCAAACAAACCCACCTTGCAGACTTCTCTGCACCCACCCAAACAGTTGAAACTGGTAGGAAAAATACACACAACCATTTGTGAGTTTCAACCTGTCACTGCTCAGAAATCCTCCCATGTCTCCCCATCAGTCCAAACTTTTAATTTTCTGGACTATTTTTCATTTCCTCCTTTCTTCCAAGTTCCAACACCCTCTCTCCACTGCTCATTACTGAAAGCCTCCTTTGATCACCCTCAGAATATAGAATCACTCACAAAATAGCTTCCTCTCTTCCTATTAAGTCTCCAGGGAATCCGTCCTACCATGAGCCCAGCACTGGCACCGGGTATGAGCCCCCCCACTACACTCTATGCCCCCCACTTGTGTTGGGGCCCTTTCCTTGTATCCACCCAAGGCCAGTGCCAGCCCCTGCTCTTCCTTTGGGCCATTGCCACCAGCATGTGAAAGTGCTTTAATTACATCTCCACTTTGAAAATGACCTTCCTGGGCCCCAGGCTGTCCTTTGTCTACTGTCTCCTTAACAAAAAAGACTTGGGAAGCAGTTTTCTACACCTAACTTTCTCCACATTCACTTTCCCTCCTCATCCCTGGAATCAGGCATTTACCCCGTTCAAACTCAAGTCATTGGTCCCAGCCTTACCTTACTTCCTTCACAGCATTGGATAGAATTTATAATTGTTTCTTTTTGAAACTCTCTGACCATCTGGCTCCCAGGACACCACAGTCTCTTGGTGTTTCTCCCACTTTAGGGACTGCTTCATCTTAGTTTTTATTCCTGTCTCCCACTTCCTTTCCTGTCCCTTTCCTTTCCTGCCTGCTGGAGAACTCAAGAGATCATTGATCTCTCTTTCCTTTTCTCAATGTAATCTTCCTGAACCCCGTCACCTTAAAAGCCATCTCCATGCCAGCTGCATTTAAATAATCTCTCTCTCCAAATTATATGTCCAGTTACTAATTTCTTCCTAACTTCCAGGCTCATCTCTCTAACTGCTCCCATTAAACCTCCACTTGGATGTTTTTCAGGGCAGCAGCCACGAGGGGTAGCCCCATAGCGCCAGGTCTATCTGCTAATTCCACTGCCAGGAAGATATACATTGACAATATACCAGTCCATACAGGCGAAGAAAAAATGCCCATGGTTTATTATGTCATAGTATTATTATTTAATAATTTTTATATTTATTATTATAAATAATATAAACAGTATTAAAAAAGAAAAGGCTGGTAAAGCACTTTATAGAAAACTGGTGAGACGGAGTTATTTGTGGAGCTAAAAAGACTACATATACATGTGTAAAATGTGTATGTGTGTGTGTACTTATAGATACATAGACTATTGTGTGGAGGATACACGAGACACCGGGGGTGAAGCTGCACAGGAATTTGGGGATCAGGGATGGAGGGCGACAGTTTTTATTGTGAGTTTGAATTATTTTCAGTATGCATGTTTCAAATAAGTTAACTTACAAGAGGCATGATACAAATCAACATACAAAAATTTCTGTAGGCAAATAATTCATTAGAGAAGAGAAAAATCAAGACAATAATCCCACTTATAATTGCAATTTATGTCCAAGAAGAATAAAAATATCTAGGATGTCAAAAATTCCCATGTTCATTGCAGCAATATTCACAATGGCAAAGTTACAGGAACAACTTCAGTATCCATCCATGAATCAGTGGGTCAAGATGTGAATATTACTTAATCATGAGAAATGGAGCCCTGCAATTTATCCTCAATCTTGAGAGCATTATGCTAAGTGAAACAGGCCAGACAAAGAAAGACTAAAACTGAGAAGGCATGGAATAAATGAAATGAAAAAAAAATGCAAACTCATAGAAACAGAAAAATAGGTTAAGGGAAATGGGCAGAGTTTGGCAAAAGAATATAATTTGTCAGTTATAAGATGAATAAGACCTGAGGACCTAACGTGTACCTATTGTGTCTGTATAGTGACTATAGATGATATTACTTTACTGTATTTTAAACTTTTTAAGAAAGTAGAACTGTGTTCTCATGTAAGAGAATGGACGAAGAGAAAAAAAAGGAAAAAATGAACATGTGAGTATTGTCTGTGTAATTAATTAGATGGGAAAATCCTTTCATAATTATGTGTATGTCAAATCATAATATACATTTTAAATATCTTGCATATATTGTCAATTATGCCCTAATACACTTAAAAAAGAGTAGCTCATTCCAGTGTTAAACAAAAGAGTGTGCTACTCCTATTACTTTCAGAAACTACCAAAAGATCCAGGGGCACTGAAAAATAGACTTACAAGCTGTTTTGATCAAATTAGGAGATGTCTGTTGACTCAAATTGTAAGTAACATGCAAAGGCTGTTTGCATACGTCACAGCAGCACAGACCAGCGTGCTCTGAAGGGACACTTCAACCACAGAAACCAGGAGAGCAGAGTTCTCTAAATACTGAGACATCCTGGGGGGCAAAAATCAATGGTGTCTAGTTGGAACCAAAGTAGGAGCTTTCCTGAACCCAGTTTGGCCTAAACAGAAGGGCAGGAAGCAGGCTGTTTGTGAGGCAGGACAGGAAAAGAGACCCAACCTTGCAAATAACTTTAACAAAGCTGATCTTGGTCATCTGGGGAGATGTGGATGCTGAGAGAATCAGGCACTTGCTGGCTTGCAGCACAGTCACAATCATGGTTCCTCCTCAGAAGATTTTCCTGCAAAAAGCTAACCCAGAAGGGACTTTCCTCCTGTGACAATTAAAGAGCTGTCCCTCTGCCTATTAAAGACGAATGTCCCCATTCTGCCCAGGGTTCCTTCTCTTTCTTTTATATTCAGTCTCTCACATCCCCATTAACATGCAGGTATTCTCAAAAATAAAAACAAAACCTCCTTAGAAGAAAACCAGCTAGAGAAGGTCACAGGTCATACAACCCTATGCTCAAAAAACTTTGACTTCTCTGACCTAATTTTAGGTCATCTTCACCCAGAGTCCCTTAAAAATGTCATTGTTTCTCCTGCCTTCCATTGACTCTCATAGCACCTTCCTTGGGGGGACATCTGTCCTGCCTATTCTCTCCCTGATCCGAAATTAGCACCATTCCCCAAATGTCAGCTTTGTATATCACTTTCATTTGCTATTAATTCAACTACTATTTCACTGAGTGCTTACTATGTGTTATGCATTGCTCTTCTGTGGACTGGAGATCTGTGAGCAAAAGAGATTCATCTCGGCCCTGGTGGGAATTTACAACCTAGTAACTATGAATAGCCAACTTCTCCTGAGTATTACTGTGTGCCATGCTTATCCTAATTCAACTAATCCTCACAAAGTATTGCAAGTATATCTTCGCTGTTTCACAGTTGAAAAAATGGAGACAGTTAAAAAAAAAAAAAACAAAAAAAAACAAAAAACCAAAAAACAGAGTAGTTAAGGAGATTCAGGGGTGTGCAGCATATCACCATGGCAGAACCAAGATGCCAGCCCACGCTGTCCGGCTCTGGGCCTGAGTTCTTAGTTACAACCTTTGTTTGTCTTCATTTACCCTGAGGCTCCCTTTGTTCTTGCCTAAATTGGGGTATGATTGGAACATACATTTTGTTCATTCTTTCTCAGTTCTTCAATACACATTGCATTTGCTATTCATCTGTCTGGAACTCTCTCAAGGCTCACAAGGTTGATTCTCTTACTTCATTCCTATTACTGGCTCCTTTAAAGCAAATGGCCTTCCATAAGCACCACATCTAAAATAACTCCTTCTGCAAGTCCCTGTTCTCCATCTTCATCCCCCCCACTTTATCTTTTCCTATTCTTCATCACTGCCTAAACATCTATTTGTGTTTAGCATCTGTACATGCCAGCCCCCAGGATGCAGATTCCAGGAACACAGGCTTCTGTCATGTTCATCTCTGAGTAACCCAGTGTCTGGAGCAGTGCCAGACATACAGCAGCTGTTCAACAAATGTGTTTTGATGGGTGAATAAGTGAAAAAAGAGGGAAGGAAGAGCTGGTCATTCTGGGGAACAAATAAAAGAGTAAGCTATCTCTGTGATGGCTTGATGGCAATAAAAGTCTAGGAAAAAAATTCCAAGACACCCACCTAGCCAAAAAATAAAACTTAGACTTAGCAACATGGTGAAATTCAATGCCATTAGGAAAAATGTTAGGGATTATGCCAATGAAGAGTCATAGCTAAATTAGTATCAATGAGGGAAAATAATATGAGAGTCTACACACATTATTATTATTGGAATGTATATACATATCTCAAAACACAAACTCAGGTATACAAGAAATGTAATATAGGGATTTCCCAAGCATAGTTGAATTCTATTTATACTTCAGATCCCCAGAGTGAAACTTTGTCTTTGTTAATTCAATGTTTGTGACTACATGGTTTGTAGACCTCATTGTGTCTGAGTTCTGAGGGGAAGGGACTCAGGGTAGACAGAGAGGGCTGAGCTGGGCCTTAGTCATGGCCAAGCGTACTCTACTTGAGTCATCATGATTCCTGCCTGGTCTTCAAGGGGAAAGTCTATGGAGACTGTTCTCCTTTGACTGTCATTGCTATCCTGTAGCCTGTGAAAACCAAGTCTTCATGGAGCTACATCTTGTCCAGCTGGGGCCACGGGTCACTCTCTGAGGTTGCCTCAAGTCAGGTACATTGCCAGCCAGGTCTACTCTACAGTTTCTGAGCCATCCTGGATATGTGGGTCTCTCTCTAAGGGCCTGCACCTCTTTAAGGGCTTGCCAGTTACTTCTCCTAGAGAGTAAGACACATTTTTCTTAGTTTCTATCATCCACCATGCCCTCCCCCCAAGTTAGACTTCAGTTTAGGGTTAGGAGGTGAGCACATAAAACCCCTTTTCAGAAACACAGCAGAATCTCAGCTCCTTTATTTTTCCTCCACCCCAGGACATTTTAAATTTGCCTATGAAAGGTAAATAACCAGACAGGACTATTTTCCATAACTTAAGGCAAAACAAGGGATGAATAAGGAGAGAGGATGTCCCATTTGGGTGAGGATGATACAGCCATGCTCACTGGGAGCATCGGATGGCCATGACACCGTACTCTGTCTCCCACATACTCTGTCTCCCACACCTTGGCTTGATGTGAGCAACTGGAAGTTAGACCCATGCCTGAGGAGACTGAGTGGCTCCCCAGTTGATTGATGGAACCCAGCGTTAACAATGCTTTAGTTAATTTGTCTGGTTCCTTTCCTTAAATTGTCTTCCAGAGTTCAGCAGAAAGGGGGCTTGAGGCAGAAATTGTTTTAACTGTAAAAGTTACAGTCAGGGAAAACATTAGGATAATTTTACATTGTTAGAACATTAAAGATGCTTAGAATTCTCTGGTTCCTGCAAGAAATTCTTTCTAAAATCTACTTTGGTAAGTATATTGGGGGTAGATGTACATTTGAACAGGAGAGGAATGAAGGCGTTTCACTTAAGGGGTTCTATAGTTTTTGAAAAATCAGTCATATAAAACACCACACTGATAAAGAGGCAAATGATTATGGAACCCAGGGCACAAGAAGGAGCAGAACTTAGGGTCCCAGAACACAGTCTCAGGTGTCCCTTCTGTGGCTCACCTGGGAACTCTCAAGACACAGAAGGCGAAGTTCTCTGAGCAGCACTTACCCTCGAGGACGGAAGTCATGATACTGACCACACTCATCGCCCGTTTGATTCGGAAAGGCTCATTCAAGTATTCTGCTGATAAGAAAGTCTTCTTCTGTCCTGCGTCAAAAGGCTGCTGGGACACAAACAGAGTCAGTACACCTGGCACCTGAAGTCTTCAGAGGCAAATGCAGCTTATTCAGCTGCGTGTTGGCCAGTCCCCTGTGGCTGGGAGCTCCCAGTGAAGCAGGCATCCAGTGGTGTTTGGAGAAATGGAGCTGCTACTTGTATGTGGGGTAAAAACCCAGGCACAGCACCAAGAATTTGGGGGTGACTGGAGCCCTCAGTTGACCTGATGATGTGATCAGGCCTCATGAGAGACTCTGCAATATGAGGGTAGGGCGGGGTGGTGGGCAGAATGATGTCCAAATGATCCTTCTGTGAGTGACCCTTACGGCTTCTTGGCTCAAAGCCTCCAGGTGGGCAACCTAAGAGAGTCTGGAACACTGACAAACTCACCGACACTTCGATAGCTCCAGAGCCAAGCTCACTAGTTGGCAATGTGGGGTGTCCATTTTCTCCATATCCCAAGCCAGGATTGGGGGGTTGACTCTTAGGGAGGGGGCCTTGCTGACCAGCACCTCCACCCAGCAGCAGGGAGCTCCGGTGGTTTTCATGGTCTCCAGGACAGATTCCATCATCTGTGACCACCTCAGGGAAGGAGACATCCCGGCCAGGGGCCCGGAAAAGGAAAACGCTGCCATGGCTAGCCCGCCGTCTCCCAGAGGTAAGACCTAGGAAAGACTGGGGATTGCCGCAGGAAAGCAAGAGGTGAAAACACATCTTGCAGGTAAATCTGGAGCTCATAGTTCCCTCCACCCACTCCTAGTTCTCTGCCTTTATTCTCTTGACCTCCCAGGAACAATTTCAAAATACTAATCTAAATTAGTATTATTCTAAGTATACATGGGGATAGAAAAAAAGGAAAAAAACCTTATTCTTGTCAGAGTCTGAGAAAAGGCTAAGACTTAATGAGAAATTAAAGTACCCTTAAGTTCAGTAAAGAGGTCATCATGGCCAAGGATATGCCAGGGGACAGTCTTGTCACCTGAACATGTTAGATGGTTGTTAATCCCTGGCTATTGGGTTCAATAGAGTTTCTTGGAGTTTATTGCCCCACATACAAAGTTGTGCCCTAAGGACCTATTATACACTCTAGTACTGGAACATGTACACTTTATTTTAGAGTCTAAAATTTAGGCTCTACAATTCATTAGTTCTAACCTATATGGATGTGAGAGCTTGTGTTGCAAAAGAGAAGACAAGAACTTTATAATATAATGAGCTTCCAGGTTCCCTTGAGAAAAACTTTGAATAGTCAACAATGAGGAGACTGAAGGGAGAGTCTAATTTCCTGGAAGAATAATGCCATTCTTCCAAATCAATAAACATTTCCCATCAAAATCTTCTTCTCAGAGAATCATGTAGCTTACAGTTGCCAGAGGAAAGAGGCTAATTCATAAGCCCAAAGACCCTGGAGAATTACTACATTAAGTCAACTAGTTCCCATGAACGCCATGGGACTCTTACCCTAGCAGGCTATCAATTCTGTCCTCGGATCATATAAAGTATTTGTAAAACAGAAACACTGACTTCCTACCAAAATTCTGCTCACACTCCTGATTTTTTTCCTCTTTCCTTAACACCTTTTGACATGCCACAGAGCCATGCCACAGAGCTGGTTTCCTTTCTTGTTAATTTTGAGCACAACCCAGTTTAACAACCATCAGTGCAATTCTTGTGCTATTAGCAGAGCATTCTATCTAGAATATATATCCAAGGACTCAGATCCAAGGATAAACTTTCCCTATTTTTGAACCAAAGAAACATAATTGGCAACTTTTTCAAATGAAGGGATGACTGGGTCGTTTGCATTTGGGTACTACACTAGGCAAACAGGCATTGCCTCCTTGGTCACCAGCTAATATTTAAGAATTAATCTATGTGACAAAGGGTGGGCAGTGGATCTTTGAATCTAAGAATTTGACTTGCATCATTCAAGCAAACCAATTGGTCTCCTGTGGATTCCTAGGAGTACCTTCTGTCTCAGCTCCCCCAGATAATACCATCAACCTTGGTCTCATTGCTGTTGGCCTGAAAATAGTTTTTATGAAAAAGCTGTCTGTGACCTACTTATCATATGACTATACCCAGGAAAAGAGGGAGATATCTTCTTGAACATATCCCAGTCAACCAGTTAGTATTAAAGAATCACACAAATGGTGCCTCCCTGGCTTTGCATATGCATGTTCTTATTTCTGCCTGGATGTACTCCTCCCCACATCCTTCGCATCCTCAACTCATACTCACTATTTATTATTCACTTCAATTATCCCTTCTGCTGTGAAAACATAACTATTCACCCCAAGCCCATATTAGTGGGTATTTTCTCTTTTATTCCCTAAATACCACACATGTGTCTTAACATAATATGTAACATATAGGTAAGCCCATATTAGTGGGTATTTTCTCTTTTATTCCCTAAATATCACACATGTGTCTTAACATAATATGTAACATATAGGTGTTTTATATCTTCCTCCTCAGTCCAAGTGGAAGTCCTGGACTCTATTTCAGTCATGTCTTTATTTCAGCACCTAGTATTGTTGAATTAATAAGACATAATTCCTCTGTTTCACTCTGAAGATAGGCTCAGTTGGAGAGACAAGCACATGCACACACATACACACACACATTCCAGACAATTAACAATTATTGGACATCCAGGTGTTGATTTATGTGGGGCTGACAGAATGGGAAAAGTTAAAGCCTGATGCAGAGAGTCGTTATCATTTTCATGGAAACTGTGATTCATCCTGTTCAATGATTGTCAGAGCCTTGATGAACCCCTCTTTGAGACATCTTCTGAACTGTGCCCTCTCATAGGGCTGCCTAAGAGGCAGAGGGAGGAAGAGCACAGATGGTAACAAATGGTGAAGTGTAGATGTCACTGAGCTGGTGTACATGTGAGCATCTGTGTGTGTGTGTGTGTGTGTATGTGTATGTAAACTTGAGTCTGGGGATGTATAGCTGGTATTCCAAAAAGTATATCATCCTTCACATGAGCACAGGAAAAGGGGAAGTGAGGAAAAATAGTCATGTTGATATCCCTTTCTAGATTATTAGAGGGTGAACTACTCTCTCACAAAGGGACCACTGTGTCTCAGTTCAGTGAAAGGCACATTTGGTGTGCAAAGGACTTTCAAAGGCAAGGGATGTGGGAGGAGGAAACGGTGAGTACAGGGAATCTTGGAGTTGGAAGTAGAAGGTTTTGATGAGAGTAAAACTTGCTTCAGGGCCTGAAGTGAGTTAGCAAAGCAATTCCTAGGCTACATTGTTAGATAGGTGCTAGGATATTCTGTGTCAACGGGTGAGAGTTTGAACTTCAGTGCTGGAGGCATGATGTCAGAAAGGAGCATGTAAATGACTTCAGCACCACGGACAGAGAAATAACTGTGTTCCTGAATTGCTTATCAGTGTGTCAGAAGGAGGTTGCTCTTTGATCTTCACAGGATCCTCAAGGTCAGCATGTCCAATATGGACTCACCATCTTCCCCGAAAACTGGGTTCTGGCTCCAGTGCTCCTGTCTTAGATTTAGTGCACCCATCTAATTACCAATCCTGAAAACAGGGAGTCATGTGGATCTCTATCTTTTGTCCCTATTCTAGTCCCAGTACCATGTTGACCCCAACCCCACCTCACAAAAGTCTTTATAATCTACCTCTTCTTCACATCCAAAATGCTCTTGTACTAGTTTATGCCATCTTTGGGGAGCAGTCTTCCTAATAGCTTCCTAATCTCCCTGCTACAACCTGTCCAATTTCAACCTATTCTCCATGGCAACTGCAAGGGTGGGTAATCTTTAGCACACAACCTGAGCCCTTACCATTCTGCGCTGATTATAAGGCTCAGATTGGGGTGACTTGTTGTCATCTGTGGAGCCCTCTGACATCTTTGGCTTCATCTTGTGCCTTCTCTCACTGGCAGATTTGAAGACTGGAGGTGACCCATTGTGGGAGTGGAGAGAAGCTGTATCAATCCCCAGTGCTTCCAGCATCTGAAGAAAGAGAACAGCAGCTGCAGCCAACAGTATCTGGTTGAGCTTAGCATAACTGCATCCCCCAGACGTGGGCTGTCACAGAGACAAGGGCATCTGAAACAGAGGAGATCAGGATTATAACCTGGATGGTTGTGGGACTGAGAGATATCAAAAGAGCCATGTGTGGGTCACCTCCCTTATTCACACCCTATGGTAGACACTGTTGGTGGCCTGCCCAGATCCCCCTACCAGGTCAGCACACCCAAGTCCAGCTGTTTAAGTGTTATCTGCTAATGGCTCACAACTGCAGCATTCTGTAGAGAATTTCCTTTGAATATACATTTGGTTGGAGCAGGAAGAAGATGCAAGTACCTAGCCCTCTTCACTCAAGGTAGGGCTAACTTGAGCTCCCCATGAGATCAAATCAAGGTAGTCTCTGGCTTGGGTCATCTTCTTGATTAAATCTACCCTACTCCATCCTGTTTCCTTCATTTTCTTCCTTCCTGCTCCTCTCCCTTTCCCTCCATAAGTCACTTGTACAAGATCTTCACTCAGGGTCTTTTATGAGAAAACCTGACCTCAGATGAATCTTCCCATGGTTCCCTAGAATGACAGGTTTAAACTATGTGACTGGTGCAGACCAAACATAGCCTGCAGTGATTTCACAAAGCTTCCACCTCTCACAGACCTCCTGCTCCTTCCGGAGCATCTCAAGGGCCTCTTGGAACTTCTTCTCCTTTGCTTCAATTTCATCAATCGTTGCCTGGTTCTGTTCTTCATATGCCATGGTGACCACAGCCAAGATCAAATTGACCAGGTAGAAGGATCCCAGGAAGATGACAAGCACAAAAAAGACCATATAGATTTTTCCAGAAGCCCTCAGGGTCTGCAGATTCAAGAGAAAGAAGGGAGGCATGTACCTAGGGCACATGGGCCTCTGATGTCAGAATCCTGCCAGGAAAATGTGAACATGCAGCTAACCCACCAGCATCCATACAAGTTAGTATGGAGACATGCGAATGGATACCTGCTGGTAGAGGCGTTCCCAGGAATCCTGTGTCATGAGGCGGAATAGTGACAGAAAAGCCCAGGAGAAGGAATCAAAGCTGGTGTAGTTAAAATCCGGGTTGTCAAATGTTTTCAAGCAGAAATAACCTTCAGGGCAGTGTCTGCAGCAAGAACAAAGGAAGTCATTCATTGCACAGCCCCTTCCTTCCTGGAGGCAAAGCGGTGCACAGGATTGGAAATTAGAGATTGGAATTCAAGGCCTGGCCGACTGTTTATCAGCTGGCTGACTGGGTACCTCATCTGTTAGGTCTCAGTTTCTTTTGTCCATAAAATGGGGGTGATAATACTTACTCTTCAGAGATTCATGCAGAAGGTAGTGGCCTGGAAAAAGCCGGCTGACTGCCCAGACATGACCTTATAAGGAGGTAAGCTCTTTGCCAGTTCACACAAAGGGAGGGAGAGTCAGTATCAATAATGCAGACTTAAAACCCTCAACCTGGCCAGCTGGCATCACCTGTGGAGTTGTCTATCAAAGGAAGACACACATTAGCTAAGTTCACTGACCAATTATATGGAACAATGAAAAGAACACTTTCCACTTACTGAGCACTTACTGCCCCCCACCTTCTAAGTGCTATACAAATACTATAATTTAATCCTTTTGACAATTTTTAATAGATATGGAAGCTGTAGTTCAGAAAGAAGAAGTCAGTTCCTAAAGCCACACAGATGGCAACATCTTTATTTAAAAAGAAAAATATAATTGCCAATTAGCCTATGAAGGCTGATCTATGGAGGAAGGGCAAGTCAAAGATGACCACTTTGTGAGTATTGGTGTGGGCAGTGCTGGACTCTTCTCTATCATAAGAAGGAGGTAGATTGATATCAAAAAGTATGTCTAAGCTCAGGATGTGTGAAATGCTTTTATCTTCCCCAGTGGTATGTCCTGGCTGAAGAAAGAGCAATAGTTGCTAGTTGCTAGTCTGGGATTCTATTACTCAAGGATTCCTCCTCCCAACCCAACCTTTTGGTCTGTCTTTTTTCCAGACATCAATGGAAATGCCCAATCCTGGCACCCATGCAAATGATTGGGAATCCTGCAACTTAATAAGCTACTCTATTTCTACCCCCCCCCCCAATTTTGGTTCAGAGACTGCTAAACCACCTTTAAATATCGTCTCTTTATGTTGGAGGTAGGGAGCCAGTGCTGTCTGAAGACCAACCTCAGCTCAGTGGGATGAGCATGAGGCCAGGTGGGTGATAAGGAACTCCAGGGAATGGACATCAGAAATTCTCGGCAGCCATGAAGGCCTGCTTACTGCTGAACTGTCTTTGTTCAATTCACTATAAAAAGACTGCTGGAAATGAAATGTAGTGAACCTACATTACATCTTTAAGTGAACCTTAAAGATTCAAAAATAAAATAAATAAACACTGTCTCTTAATTTTCTTCCCCAAGGATCTAGTCCCCCATTCTCTGTAGGTTTGCTAGTTAACTCCAGGAGCAGACTTATTTCTATGCTGTCTATAGAGCCCCACCATGCCTTGCATAGCTCAATAGCTAACTTCTCAATAGATCAACAGTTAACTCTATGAAATTTAATGAGAATGTGGTGGAAAGATTCTTGTAATGATTGTGCCTTCAGCATAGTAAATATTTCATGTAAAATAAAAATGAAAATTCATGTTTTAATCTGAGACATTACCAAAAAGATGACTTGGAATATGTGAAGGAATGGTGAAAATCAATGGATATTGCCTAGTATTTGCTCTTTACCCAGTTGTTCTCCTATACCGCATCTGGTCAGTGTGGGCCTTCACCCAGGGCCCACGCTTCTCTGCCGCCAGTGCAAGCCCTAGGTTTAGTGCTTAGCCCCTTTGGGGCTTCTTCTGCCCATCCACCTGAGCTTGTTTCTCTTTACCACCCCAGTTCTATCCACTCCTTCAACACCTGGCCAGGACCTGCTAAGCAGGGGATCTGGCCTCTCTTAGAAATGGGGGTTCATGAACAGATGCCACAGCTTTACTATGGACAATGCTTGTTATCATGTAGACAGGAAAGTGTCATTGGTGGGGAGGTCCTTCTGTTTAAACTTAAGATAAAGGCCAATGAAAATGGACTTCAGAACAACCCATTTTCTGAGTCCAAGAACTAAATGCCAACTATATTTGTGAATAAAGAGACCAAGAAGCCCCTATGTTGATAATTTTTTCCTGTTTGTCTCATCACTAGATCTACCTGAGACTGTTTTGCTAGTAGGCTGTTTAAGGAAAAACTCCATATGGCTTCCACACAGCTCCACTCGGACAATATGGGACTTTCAGTCTCCCAAGGTGTGGAGCCATGTGAATCTGATCTTCCATCTCCCCAGTCACAGAAGTGGAAGTTCTGTTACTTCAGCTCTTTCTGATCACTTCAGTGGCCAAAACTCTTGGTCTTGCATTCTATGCTACCAACTAGGGATGATCTCCGTTCAGATTTACACAGCTCTGAGACATCCTACCTGTTCTTCAAACTTTCATTGCCACATCCAGGAAAGCTCCCTTAGCCTTCCTCATCACTGCCCTGTGTTTCTGCAGTTCCCAGGACCTCTAGCACAGCACTGGTTCTCCACCACATAGCACCTTTATGTATATGCATCAGAGTTCATAAACTGGCAACTTGCAGGCTGAGTGATTGAAAAGTTCATTTGCTTGACTCACAATATATTGACAGCTTTTGAAATTGGTAACCAATGTTTGGGATATTTCAAAGGAATATTTAAAATTTCTGTCTCTTCTTTTAAAATTGAATGAGTTGAAAGTAGTGGCCAGATGGAAGTTGGATTGAGCAGGGCCTCCTGCTTTTAAATGGGCATCAACCCACATTGCCATGGCTCCTATATAACCCACTCTTCTCTTTGGTGGTTGTGCGTGACCTCTGTGAGAACTTGAAATTGCAAGTCTGAAGTATGCTGCTGCTTCTCTCATGAGGACAATGAAGTCCACGTGATGAAGTTGTAATGATTACATGTAGATCATCTGACTCAAAACATAGTTAGTAAATATTAGCTAATTTTTAGGAGTTTTCTTGCAAAAATGGCCACAATTTATCTCTGTATCTATATCCAGCTTATCCCCTCAAGGGCAGAATCTATTTTCCCATCCCTTTGGATCTAGAATGACCTCTGACTTACTTTGGTCAACAAAATGCAATAGAAAAGATGCTGTGTTAATTCTAAGCCTAGGTCTCAAGATACCTTGTACATTTTTTACTTTTTCAATGGCATTCATTCCTCTGTCCTGAGAACAAGCTCAGGCTAACCTCTGGGGGTTAAGACACCACATGGAGCAGAGACAAGTCACCCTAGTTGAGGCCATCCTAGATCAGCTGGTCTCCTCATAATTTCTGGGATGATGGAAGCCATCACTCATTAGTTTTTAGACCTTCCTCAGGACCCATGACTTTGTCTTTGTTCAGAAAATGCTAATAATAAGAAGAAAAGACTGTTGGACTCTTGTGATTGGTGGGGCACTCACCCTGAATCAGATCCATTACCGCACAGTAAGGGGTCAGTAGTGCCTGGCTTTATGTAGAAGTCTGCAAAGTAAAGGAAGAGGTGAGAACTGCACATATAGTTACAAACCCTCCTACTCAAGCCTTTCAAGGTGGGGCAATACTTCCTTATCCTCTACTTGAGCAAAGCAAGTTTCCTAGGCTATGTGCATCCCATGGACTCATTGGGACACCCAAAAGGGGAAAGTTCCATCTGGGAAGAGAAAAGCTGAGCAGTGACTTCAGCTGTGAAACACCTCCAGCAGAGGAGGAATGACTTGCCTAGATTTACAGCTTATTTCCTTATAAAAGGGACACTGGGCAACAGAAAGTGGACCCCAATGTAAAACGCAACTCAGGAGAAGTGTTTCAGCAGAAGAGAGATATTAAAGATGTCTATGTGTACAGGTAAGCAGGGATTAAAACCCACTGTCAACTACACCTTTGTCCTTATGGCAGAAATTCCACTCAAGTGTTCCATAAGAGAAATTGGCTGTCTTGTTGAGAGCTGTGCAATTCCGGACACATTTGTTCTTGAGGTTTCCCTTGAAGAGCTGCAGCCCCACCAAGGCAAACACACTCAGGCAGAAGATGGTGAGGATGGTCACATCAGCCAGCTTCCTCACTGAGTGGATGAGGGCCCCCACGATGACCTTCAATCCTGTGGGAAGAGGACAGTGATGCTCTCAATGGGCAAGGCATCACACACAAGAGCACACACCTATGCCTGGCGTGCTCACCTCCTCCTATGTACAGGTGTGAAGTCATTACAAACTTTGAGGCAGTTGCAAGATGGATCCTCATCTGAACTTTGTTATAACCTTGGGAGGCTGGCAGGCAGAGACTATTGCCCCATTGTGAAGATGAGGCCACCAAAGCCCAAGCAAGGAATTTCTTGCTTGGGCTAATAATTAGGGCTAATAATTATTAATGATAGCAATTTGATTAGAAAAAGTTGTTGGATACCTACTGTTGTCTGGATATCTTGCTAGGTATAAGGAGACTATCTCACTCAAGTCATTTGGCATTTGTCTTTCTTCATGCACCTCACTTTTGGGAGGTGACTCAAGACTGGGGACACATGAACCTCAGTGTGTGTGTGTGTGAGAGAGAGAGAGAGAGAGAGAGAGAGAGAGAGAGAGAAAGGGAGGGAGGGAAGGAGGAAGGGTGGGAGGGAAAGGGATAGAGGGAAGGAACATAGCAATACAGTGAGACCAAGAGAGACACTGAGGTACAAACAGTATCTGAGAAAGAGCTATCTCAGAGCCAAGAACAGTTGGCAACATATATGGAGTCCCACTTGTTTAAGGAGGGGTGATTTGTTACTCTGCCAAAAGATATCACTTTCTTTGGAAGCACAGCTTCACAGGTAGAGAAACCCTGGCCAAGGAAGCAGTCTGGAGTTTTCCTTTGCCTTATATTTTAACCAACAGAGAAGCACTGTGCACTCTGTGTGTCAGTCTCTGCACAGGGAGCTGGTGACAGTTAAGGCATGAAGAATGTGTGTGTGTGTGTGTGTGTGTGTGTGTGTGTGTGAGGGGTATCTGGTATCTGACAATTGAGGAGAAACCCAGCATACAGGGCCCCAAACCAAAGCCTGGAGGTGAGGATGGAGTGGTGTGGCGTGCAGGGAAGTTGAGGAAGGCCAAGGAGTCAAATAGTGGCCAAGCCCTGAGGAATGAGCGTGAGTTGAGTGGAGAGAAGGAAAGAGTCTCCTGATAGAAGCAGAAGGTTGGAGGCTGGGAGATGTGCAAAGGTTTGCCATATTTGTGGAGCCACTGGACCATGATGTGAAGTGGAGAGAAGAGATAAATGAGACAGGAGAGGGTGTACAAACAGTCCAGGGCAGAGTAGGGTCCTCTTGGCTGAGAGTGGTTGAGGGAGACACCTTGGGGTAGAAATGCTATGGCATCAGTTCTCCTCATGGGGAAGTTTGTCCAGTGGCAGTTGGTAAAGACTTTCCAGTTTCTCCTTCAAAACCAGTCACAGAATGGTACAAAGGGACTTCCACTCATGCTTGAGTGTCTCTATTTTCCTGATGAGGGAAAGGATACTCAGGAGTGAGGGAGAAGAGGTACTCTGTAAGATTACAAGGGTAAAGTATTGAGTCTTGTCTCAGTGGGTTATCTGATGACCTCACCATCCCTCCCACCGACCCAGCAGGGAGCGAGGAGTTCACTGTGCTCCTGGTGGTGACAGAGATCTTGGAACGCCAATAAGATGAGCTCTGGTGGACTGGTTTTGTTCCTAAATGCTTTGTAACCAAGAATTGCCTAATTCTTTTCTACTTTGGGACTCCAAAGACAGGACTGAGCCTCAAACTTTCAGATCTCTGGAAATGGGAAAGTCACTCACCAGAGTGTGGATCTATCTTCTTTCTTTAGTTTACAGTACAAATGAGAATCTAACTGGAGATTTGCCTGAACCCCACACCAAGAACATAAAATGAAGACATGATCTTTTCGGACTTTATCAGTGACACGAACATGAGGTACTGTGGACACAGCACTGGCACAGGAAGTAGGACATTAGGTTTCTGGGGTTATACTCTGCCTCTTACTAGTGATGAGGCCTCAAACTTGTATTTTCTGTTTTCTGGTTTTTAATATCTCTCTCAAGTGGGGGAAAGAATCCTTACCCTGGAACCTCAGAGGGCTCTATATGTGAAAATCCAAAGAAGGATATTAGGTTATGGAAACCAACATGTGTTCTGTGATTAAATGTGCTGGTTAAAGCAGCTCACCAGGGATCACAGAAACTGTCTTTAAAGCTCTGAGAACTCTGAACGTCCGCAGGCCTGAGATCCCTCGGAGATCTGTTGCTTCACCAACATATCTGTAGAACCAGAAGTCATTCAGCATCTCTACAAGGAGAGAAACTAAGAACCAGGCAATGCATGCAACACAAATAAGGATAACATTCAGTAACATGGGCCTACCAAGGACCCGGAACAGACACTGAATCTAGTAGCACTTTTACATATAAACTGACTGCAATGGTACCATAATTATTAGCATATCTTTCAGAATGGCCCCTTTGCATGGTGATCTAGGTGGCCTGATGTGCTTCATGACGGGGAGATAGTCAATCATGTTGACTTGACCAACCAATCTCCTTAGACAGTGGGTCCTCAAGGAAGACCTGTTGTGTAGGTTCAAGGCTGAGCTTTGTATAATCCACTTTGAAAACCAGTTATCAGCTCCAATTTTCAGTCTCCAATTTCTCCCTGAGGGTGTAGGTATGACCCTAGAAAGTGACTCTCAGTGCAACACTCCATGGCACGGAGACCCAACAAGATCCTACCTCATGCAGTTCCAAAAGAAGAAGCTACACTGAGGTAAGGACACACCCCAGATTGTGAACCTGGACACACCCACAAGCCCCATAGGAACACACAGACACAAGAGAGGGAGAAGCACTCACGCCAGGGTAATGACACTGAAATCCAGCCAGTTCCAAGGATCTCGCAGGTAAGTGAACTCATTCAGACAAAATCCTCTCGCCAGTATCTTTATCAAGGCTTCAAAGGTGTAAATGCCAGTGAAGACATATCTGGGGGGGGGGGGAGAAGGAAAAGGAGTATTGACTCTGCCATGGAGAGAGCACAGGGGGAGAGCTGCTGTGATTGTCCCAAAGGAAACAGTGCCAACAACATCACCACGGTGGCGAAGGGGAGACAGTAAGGAGACCACGGGTAGACAGGGGAACACGGGTAGACACAGGAGGGGCATAGGGAGGGAGGCAGGTGTCTGAGGTGGTTGGCGTGTCTGCTCCTCTGAAGGTGGACGGAGGGTGATGGCAAGTGTAGAAACACAGCAAGGTTCAGAACAGGATTTTCCTGTTCCATGAGGTTCTCACAGGCTCCTTGCCATGAGGGGAGCTGGAGGCCCCTCTCCCAACCTGTTACTGGCTGAAGATGTGGAAGAGGGGTAAAGTTCTGCTACATCTCTCCTCTCCAAACTCCTCTACTTCTGTCTTTTCTTCTTGTACCAAGCCTGCTCTGCCGGTGGGTGGTTCTGACCTCAGGGTCCCAATCTAAGAGCCATGTAAGGCAGGAATCAACTATCTGTCATGGAAGAAAAAAGCATCTAAATCCACAAACATTTTCTCAGGAACATGGATTCTGCTAGAGGAAGTCACTCAATGCGGCCCTTTTATTCTGCTGGGCATGTTGTAGGTTTTGACTTCAAGAGAGGGATTTGGAGCTGAAGTTAAAAGCGAGGTAGTATTTCTCCCATGTTTAGAAAACCTCATTCAACTACAACTGTGGTTCCTGAACTCTGACAGCTTCTGAACCAGCTGGAGGTCTTGTTTTAACAGGGTTGTGGACTTTCCTCCCAGAGTTACTAATAAAGAAACCTGGGGTAGGGTCCAAGTGTTAACATTTCTAACAAGTGCCCAGCTGATGCTAAAGTTGTTGGCTTGTGTAAGGGGACCCTATGAGAACTGCTGACAAAGAGAACTAAGATACATACTAAATCATGCATGATTTTGAATACATTAATCAAAAACATTAAAATAGGAGGGCCTTTGATTAAATATGGAAGAAAAATATAAAAATATATAAAATAAAAATAATGGCAGCTTGAACATATGTATTTACTGCCATCTTTTCTGGACTCCTTAAAGAACAATAAAGGGATTTTTTTTTAAAAAAAGATTTATTTGTGTATACAGAACTGGGGTACAGGCCAGAGGCTCAGGGGCGGTGAAAGGCTTCACCAGAGACAGAGTAGGGAACAGAACAGGCAGATTGATGAAGTACACTGCTGAGGGGAGCAGCGGGTGGGTCAGGAGAGGTCTGCCACACCATGTGGTCACCTCCGGGGCAGGTGGGAATCGAACTCATGCGGAAACAGCTCTAGATTCTCAGTGCTGTGCTTTAACCCACTGCGCCACCAGGGAGGGCCAATAAAGGGATTTTTTAAAGACAAAGATAAGAGAGCACAAGAGCATTTTGGAGTCAGAGAGCAGATGGATATGTGGAAACTGACAGAACAAAGAGGAAAGCTGAAAGTTGAGCTGAAAGTGGCAAGTTCTCTGTAATGTAGAACTCACTGCCCAGGACTTAATGATGCAGCCAACAAATATGGCTGGAAAGACAGTTTGAGTCTTTATAAGGAGCAGTTGGGCTTTCCAGTCCTCACTTTGTACCATCCAATCATAAGAAACTTTCCTGACTACTCTGGAAATAGATCCTAAATTCTCTTAAGAATTGAAGAAAAGGGAGAGTATTGCATCCTGAGACAGGACTACAAAGGAAAAATGTCATACAGAAAGGCAGACAACTCCCACCCCCACTCTATACCTCAAAGCCCCTTTGCTTCCTAGAAGCCCAAGATGAGGGTGTATCAGGAATTTGAATGATGCTTCTAATACCAAAGATTAAATCAAACAAACAGGGCAAAAGAAAAGAAAATGAGACAACCAAGAACAGAATAAATGTGAGGGGAAAGCCCTATCATTAAATTTTCAGAGAGTATTGAGACTTGAGAAGATACTGAACAAAACAGAAAATAAAAGTAAGACCATTCAAAGAAAAAACAGAAAGTTGGAAAATAAAGATCTGGTAGCAAAAGCAAAACACTAAGGGAAATAAGGTTGAGGAAATCTCACAAAAAGTGAAACAGAAGACTGGAATAGATAAGAGGTGATGAAGAGTATGAAAATTAGAAAATCAGAACAATAGTATAATGTCTGAGTAATCAGAGATCTAGAAGGAAACATAGAAATAGACCAGAGGGGCCCTCCCTGGTGGTGCAGTGGGCTAAAGCACAGCACTGTGAAGCTGTCTTCAGACACTGCAGCACAAGTTCGATCCCCAGCCAGGGAGGTGAACCACATGGCACAGCAGACCCTCCTGACCTGCTGCTGCTCAGCAGTGTATTTCAGTCAATCTGCCTGTTCTGCTCACCACTCTTTCTCTGGTGAATACTCTCACCCCCCACACCTCTGGCCTGTACCCCATTTCTGTGAGCATAAATAAATAAATCTAAAAAAAAAAAAAAGAAGAAGAACTAGACCAGAGGAATTCATCAAAGAAATAATGCAAGAAAATGTGCACAAACTGAAGGATCTTAGTAGTCAGTTGAAAATGCCCACAGATATTCAGGAAACTTAATAAAAAGGGTTATATCAAAACATAAAATCACTAAATTTCAGAGAAGTCTAAATTTAAAGAGAAGTCTAAAGTTAAAAACAAATTTTAGGGAGTGTAAAACAGATCACATATAAAGGATTGAGAATCAAAATAACAGATTTCTTCATTGCATTTTTAGAGGTTTGAAGACAAAGGAGCAAAGCTTTCAAATTTGGAGGAAAACAACAATTTCTAATCTAGAATTTCTTTTCTAGTTAAACTGTTAAAATGAGGGTAGAATAAAAACAACCACAGTTATATTAAATCTAAGAAAATTTACATTTCATCTACTCTTCCAGGTAAGTTACTAGAGGATGTGTTCCACCCAAATAAGGAAGAAACAAGTAAAGATGTCATGGGGTGCAGGGGACAGAAAAATGGGAGCCAAAGGAAGCTACAGAAGGTAAAATTTCCACAAAAGAGCTATGCTTCTGATCTAAAGAACAACCAAGCCAGACTGAGGCAGGAGATGAAGGACTCTGGAAGTGTTTTCCACAAGAAAAACTGTTGACAAAAGATAAGCTGAGTTGTTTTAAAATTTAAACAATAATCAATTCTCCAGGGAAGAATCTGGGAACAAATTAGTGACGAGTACATAGAAAATTGAGCAAATGATGAAAGGAAATCATTATTAAATCCTGAAAAAGCAAATACATTGTGGAAAAAGGAAATGCAATCAAAGTATATATAGCACAACACCTCTATAATTAGTATGTAGCAACACTATTACTATATAATTACATATGCAGTCAGACTATGTATGTATTGTCTGCTTTTTAGCCAAAAATCATGACATAAGCAAATTGAGAAGATGAGGGTCAGAGAAAATGAGTGTGTATATGTGGACTTACTCCTTCTTCATAACAGGAAGCTAATAGATAACATCAAAAGTGTGGGAAAAAATAGTACTATGAGTATATTATTAGAGATAGGGAGATATCAGAAGAAAAAGGTAAAACAGCTAAAAGTGATTGCCTCTGGGAATACGGGATTAGGGGTGAGGAGATGAGAAATAGGAAATTGCTGTTTTTGTTAGAATCTCTATAGAACACTGTGACCTTTTAAACCATGAACCTGTATATCTTAAATGAAAGTAAAAATCAAATTAAAATGTGAATAACAGTGATATTTTTTCATATCTCTGAGAGAAGAAAAAGTGCTTGAAATCACTCATGAAGAAATCTGTAGCTGGCTGGATAGCTGCTTGAGCTGTCAGCTTCCCTGTCTTGGTTCCCCCCACTCTTTATGTTTTCTAAATTAGAAAATCTTAACTCAGAATTACAGGTTGTTGGCAAGCTTTGATGGATCCTTCTGACTTTTCAGATCAAACAGAGGCCAGAAATTATGAAGCGAATTCTGTCTAAAGAGTACTTTGAGCAGAGCACCATGAGAGCATGCTGGGAGCTCACGGTGGAGGGCCTTGACTTGGGAGGCCGCTGACGGTGCCACAGCCATGCTCTGGTGTGTTTCGATTCAGAAAGCATTTCTACATGTTCAGTTGCAGCATTTGGAGGTGATTTTTAAAACGGCAAAGGCAAATCCTAAATGTTTTTCTTGATGAATAAAGACAATCATTAGGGGTTGGGGAATGTCAAATTCTCCAACTCTGAGCCTTTTGCACTGCCGCTCGACTTCAAGAAATTCTGGTGTCTAGTCGTTAAAAAATCCTACTATGTAGGCACTCAAGTCAAAGAGCCACAGTATTCAAAACCCTGACTGTATTTGCAAAGTCTGTGCACTTGGATCCAAAGAACAGGTGCCTTAAAATAATTAGAAAACACTGAAGCCTTTCTTTGTGTTTGTTGGTCTGTTTACCAGTCAGCAAGCAGTGTGGGAATGCAGTCCCCACAGAGGTACAGAAGTACAAGAATAAACTTGTGCTCACTTTTTGTTTCAGTCCTGTAGGCTGAGGAGAATGCACTCAGTGGCCACAACCAGTTTGTATTCATAATTTCCACTATGTCTCTCAACAGTCATTGTGGCCTGGGGTGGGGGGCGAGGGAGGAGGTGGTGCTATGTGGCTTCTCTGCACTGCATTGGAAGCTTTCATGTATAGTGAGGACTGTATAGTGAGGACTTTCCTGCTGACCATGGGACTGGAACCTCCTCAATATCAATTCAAAGCATTTTTTAAATTGTGGTAAAATTTATGTAACAAAACTTGTCACTTGGACCATTTTTAAATATAGGATTTAGTGGCACAAAATAATACACAATAGTGTGTCACAACCCACTACCCATCACCAGAACTTTTTCATCATTCCAAACAGAAATTCTGTACTCATTAAAATAAAACAATCTCCATGGGAAACCCACGGGGATAACAACTGAGATGGAAAAATACACAAAATGATGTAAAAATAAACTATTATATTATTTTTTTATTACAAAAGTTTATTTTTACATCATTTTG